GTCTAGATAATTAATCCTGCAACGAGTGCAGGGGACTGAACTAAATGACCTCTCGAGGTCCCTTCCAGTTCTATGATTATCTCCTGGAAATGTAAACAAACCTGTTTGTCCGAGCGATTGGCTGAACAAGAAGTAGGACTGAGTAGACTTGTAGGCTCTGAAGTTTTACATTATTTTACTTTTGAGTGCAGTTATTTTGTGTACATAATTATACATTTGTAAGTTCAACTTTCATGACAAAGAGATTGCACTACAGTACTTGTATTAGGTGAATTGAAAAATTCTATTTCTTATGTTTTTACAGTGCAAATATTTGTAATCAAAAATAAATATAAAGTGAGCACTGTACACTTTGTATTCTGTGTTGTAATTGAGATCAATATATTTGAAAATGTAGAAAACATCCAAAAATATTTAACTAAATGGCATTCTATTATTGTTTAACAGTGCGATTAATCACAGGATTTATCGCGATTAATTTTTTTAATCACTTGACAGCCCTAATAATAATCAAGTGCAGTGTGACATCAATAGGTGCCACCAATTAAGATTGCTCAACACTTCCCATTGCAAAACTGTATTTAGTTCCTTATAACTTTACCAAACTTTTACCATTTGGTCTGAAGTTTTCAATGCCAGGTGTCTGCGTCAGGTTGAATTTTTTTTTAAGAGAATTTCAGATAAAATAGTTCAGCCATTACCAATGATAAGGCTAGTATAAAATGTGTTTTGCCAGTGTTAAGTTCTGGTGACCTTTTCTCCCTAATGCTCTAGTGCACCTAGAAAAGCGATCTAGGACTTGATATGTGGCACAAGGAGGCACAGATATGCCTTTTGCTGTCCCCATGAAATTCTGCCCATTTGGCCAAGTTATAAGACTTTGGGGGGGAAATCCAAAGTTTGCACACACAGAGACTTCAATTTTAGTAGCTAAAAATCCTCACTGAGCATGCTTGAGCCACACTGCTTCCACTGCAAATACACAGAGAGCATGCACTAGCCCATGGCCACACGAGCAAAGCCAGATTTTTCCTTTAATTGCTGCTCTGGGCAGGACTGGGCACTGGAACAGAGTCAGTTTCCCATGCTTCCAGTGACACCGCTACACACACACCCCTCCCACCCCTGCTACTACCCGGGCAGCCATCTGATTGAAATGCAGAGGGGAGGGAAAGGAGTAGGTTAGGACAACGAGTCTTGTGAGACTGGGACTGGAGGAAGGGGGGAGAAACTGAGACTGGGACCAGGTTGGGAGGGGAATGGGAAGAGAACGAGAGTAGGCTGAGATAACAGACTCAGAGCCAGTGGGCATGGAGGGACTGGGACCAGGAACTGGTGATGGAAGAACACAGAAATCACACAAGAAGCTGGGAGAGGGGACAGTGGGATTGGCTGGGCAAGGAATCTAGAACTGAACGCCAATGTGGAGGAATGGGGACAGGAGAAAGGGAGACAGATCTGACAAGAATCTGGGGCACAGGGGGAGAACAGGGACCAGTAGGGCAAAGAGACTGGGATAAGGAGCTGGGGGTAGAGAAAACAGACGGATTAGATAAGAAGCTGGAAGGGGGAAACAGGACTGGCTTGGCAAGGAAACAGACTGGGATGAGAAGTCTAAGGAGTAGAGAGTAGGACAAGGAGTCAGGGGTCTGGAAGTGAGGGCTTGAACGGGCTTGAGGGGATGGAGAAAGAGGGATCAAGCTTGAGGGAAAATGGGCAAAAGCTACATGCACCTCCAGAGCTGGGAATGAAACACAATGTGCCCAAATCTCACCATTTCTCTTCTGTCAGCAAATATCTGTGAAAATCACTAGCAAAGTACCCAACCCCCTGTACTGCTGGTCCACATAGCAGTAGTAAATAGTCATCCTCCATCAGATACTCTGCTCACTCAAGTGGCAGAGGTCTGTGTGATGGATCTAAAGATTCCAACCCTTCTGATGAACCCTATGGGTGTCAATATGATGCCACATGATAGCTCCTATGTTTTTTTTCAGTTTGCTTTATTAAAAATTAGGAAGCCATGCAAAAAAGTATTAAGGTCGCAAAGTCAAGCACTCAAAAATTAGGAAACGGCAGAATTAAGGTTACCTGTGCAATTTCAATTTGGCCTGCTTGTGCATATGCATTATGATATAGTCTTTAATTACATGATCACATTTTATTTTTCCTCACAAGACTCCTGCCTCATTCAGGGCATAGGATGGATGGTGCTTATTAATAAACTACTTGAACAACAATGAAAAATCAAAAGGTTAATGTGTGGCTCAAGGCATTTTTACTTCATGGTACTCAAACCCCAAAGACAGAATTATTAGTTTCTTCATAGACTTTTCTATGGTACTCACCACTATAGTATCCAATCATTCATAACTTCACAAACATTCATCTTATTTGCACAACACTCTTGTGAGTTGAAGGATATAATCCCCATAATACAGATCAGGAGCTGAGGCACCAAGATTAAAGTTTCCAATGATTTTGGGTGCCCAATTTGAGATATTTAGGACCTGATTTTTCAGAGTATTTGGCATTATATAGCACTTCTATGATCAAAGTACAGCTCCCATTGGCTCAGAATATTGTTTTCTTCCCCAGCTATTCGGTTTTGCCAACCACACTAACTTAATGTATCTCTTTAATTTCCAGAAATAAAACTATCAATATATAGGCTTGGCAGATATTCTAACAGATATCAATATTTATTTTAAAACATTTTTTCTCTTTTTATCTATTTAAATTTTCACATTTGTGGGAAGTTATGGCAGGCTCAGAGAATTATTTAATGACAATAGATGTTGAGATTCAAATAGTTAAAGCTTTATAGCCATTAAACCTCAAATTGTCAACATCACATGTCAAAATATACATAGTAAATAACCTTAAACCAAAACCTTATACCAAACTATAATAAAAGTTCAAGAAGCACTTTTCTTACTTTGCCTATCTGTGAATTGATTATCATCAGTAGAAATATTTTTCCATCAGTTTGTGTGTGTGTATGGTGAAACAGACATTTACCAATAAAAATCTAACCCTTCTAAGCCTACCAATATAGTATTTGGCACATCCATATTGGATGGCAGCACCTTACACATACTGAAGTTGATAAGTGTAGAGGTAGAAATGGTTTCCAACATTATCTTCCCATTAAGTGAAAGTATCTTCCAAAGGTCCTGACCAACATCCTGTACTGTGGAGATCCATTACTAAAAATAAAGGTCAGGATGTCTACTCCAATAGCCAGCATTTTAATTTAGTGAATCAGGGCACTAAACGGAGCTGCATGATCTCTAAGGTATCTTCTAAATAAAAAATAATCCCCTTCGTATTCTTAGGGACCAGGAGTTTACAACCATATTCCTGGTTTCACTTTAATCCTTCACTCCATTTCACCTCTTGTGATGCATCTTAATTGCTGGGTAAACACAGGTTTGCTGAGTGCCTTCCTCTTTTGCCACACTTGGATTATACAGTTGATTTCTACTTGAACCCTCCATGATGGTTCAGTCTACTGATCAACCTTCTTAACAGCTCCTTCCTACCTAGCTTCCAGCTATTACAACTTACCTGATTTCCCTCCCCCCCCCCCAACATTAGAATTCATCTCCATGTCTCCAGACCACTCAATCCTTCCCATCAAGGAAGAGTCTCACACCTTCTTCTACATATTCAGCCCTACTCTCTTGCAAATGGGCAAGAGCACCAGTGCTCTCTAGGAAATTAGTGCACTTACAGCAAAAAAAACAACACCTACTGCTGCCTGCCTTATTGCCATAATCCTCCTAATTTCCTCTAGACCCCCTAACTAGCTGCTGCAGCTAACCTAATCCTCTTCCTTCTCTCCCTGCTGCTAAAACCTAATTCACCCAGCCCACTCCCCTGATGAAATTAAAGTTGTGAATAAAGTGCAGGTGAGGAGATTAAAACGGCATCTGTATTCACTAGAATTTGTGATGCCAAATAATCTCGACTACAATCAGCACTCAAACCCACAAAACCAAAGCCACTATCAGGCAAACCAAAACGACAGCAATTCAGTGACTGGCATATGTACACCATTCCTACAGTTTCTCCCTCTCCCTTCCCCCCAACCTCCAACAATAGGTTTGCTTTGATTTTTTGTTTTGTTTTTTAAATGAGTGGTGTTGAAATAGGTTCCCTATGCTATTTTTAGCAGACATGCCAAGGGAAGTACATTTTAGTGTACTGACATTTCACCCATGGCTTTTAAGCCTTAAATTGGTCAGATGAGGCTCTTTTCTTAGGTTTGAAAAAGACTTCACAATATTTGACAACAATGCAGCAGTTATTCCAGAACAAGATGGCAATTTAAAAGAGAAGACAGTCAAGTCTACTTCTTCACTAGTAGCCAAGGTAAGCAGAAACGACACTGCAGGTCCTTTGAAGGTAGTGACATTATTAATAGGACTGGACTCCAGGTACAAACACTAGCCCCTAACATGCTCTCACTAATTTTGATGGTATAGGTTCTAGCACCAGCTCTCAGATCGCTCAGTAAGCCCCAGACACTGAGGCTCCTACTGTATTGATACTATTATTGTTTTGATACTATTATTACAGTGAACTTGTTAGACATTTTTATGGCTCTCTGGTACTCCGTTGGATAGCAAAGTAGCTCAGGGGCACACCACAGCACCAGGATAGTAGCCATCTATTTTCTCTGGCTGAAATTCTATTTTGGCTTCTTTTAAATTACACTGGAATAACTGATTAGTTATTGGACCAGTCCTATTATTCTTTCTACTTCATACTGAACTGAAAAGACACTTATCTTATAAACCTAGTCTGTACAAATAATGTGTGATTTCTAGGCTATTCATTAGCTCAGATGTAAGTGCTGCAGTCAAAAGATTTCTGCAAATCTCTTGTCTCCCCATTGCTGCTGTCTCCTCATTGTTAAAGAGCCTACTAAACTTGATTATTTACCTATTTAGAGATTGCACTGAATGGCTGCTTAACAAATAAATTCCACTTACCTTTATCTCAGGCTCTTTTTCACATTCTTCTATATACAAGTCATATAACTTTTGAAATACAGATTTTCTGAAATTAAGGAAAATGTTAACATAAAAATTGTGTTAAATCAATACAATAAAAAGTTAAATATTGAAATATTTGCTACCTTCCACTGGATAAATATTTTCGTTTGGGAGGTCTCTGACGGGCACTTTCAATGACATACTGGAAGAGAAAGGTGCATGAAACTCAACAGTTCTAGCAATGTACAAATTACTTTAAGAGTCTTAGTATCATTAAAGCAAATTTAGGTTACAGTAGTTATTCTGTGTTACACAGCCAACAACATGTCAAACTGTAGTTTTTTGAACGGAGTAAATACTCTCACTTCTAGAGTGGTCTGTAGGAGTGGTAGTTACTAAGGAGTGCTTAATTCCAACTACCAGCTAACAAAGGAGTTATTTCATAGCTAAAATTAAAACGAAGTGGTATGTTTCATGATTATCACTATCGCAGTTAAGAAGTAGTTTCTGAAGTCTACGACACTTTATGCCAACATTTTATATTTACAGTAACAAAACCTTAAAGAAACCTGAAATTTCACTGTATTTGAACCAAGACAATTGCAACATTCAGATATAATGCTGTTGCCCTGGTACAACTCACTCCCTTTGAACACAGCCAACTGTGTTTTAGAAGGCCTACTTTGTTCCTGTGTTTCTCTAACATTTTTTTAGAAAGCAGGGTAATTCTAAGCAGATGCAAGATGTGTACAATATTTTAGTAAATGTTAGTTAAGACACTCCGGTCAAATTTAGCACTTGATTTAGTTTTTACACAGACAAGCTTTCACAAAATACAAATTCTGGAGGAAACATTTCCATTCTTGACAAAGTGCTGATTGATCATTTGGTTTATTTTAATGAGAGATAGGTTCTCCCTCTTTCCCCCCCAAATATTTTGAATCCAGTATTATATAGTGTAGGGGAACCTATATATGAAAAATGACTGATATATTCTTTGTTGGCTGTGGGATGACTTAAATTGCTCACACTAGGTTTATGTAGACTATATAAATAGCAGCCTTGTAGGATTCTACTTGACCAGGATACGTAATTGTTTTACAAATAGGAAAACATTTAAGACTTTATTTTCATCATGGGAAAGACCAGGCAAGTAGATTCTGTGCCTGGGCTGGTAGTTTTAGTGACAATTTTGCAAAACTAATGTTCTATACATAGTTTACACAAAAAACACCTTCATGTAATATAAATGCACAGAATGTAAACAGACATTTAAATTTAAGCCTGGTATATTATTTACATATCAATAGACAACTTAGCTACTCCTTACCTCTGCACGATCCAATGCCAGTTCTAAAGCTTGTTGCTGCAAAAATTATAAACAGCTTTCTTAGAAAATGTGTTAACTGATGAAAACCTTGTACTGTAACAACCACCCCAAACTCTATGACTAGGACTCAAATATTAGTTTGTTATTTTTACAGGACTAGCTGATCAAATGTAGGATTCTTTAGCATGTACAGAATTCTACCAATAAATTCAGCACTCTGTTTAACTGCATTAACAGTAATTAACTCCACTACAGGATTTGTGTAGATTTGACTGAATTATTAAGTGTTAGAAGGACAGTGATGCCAAACTGTAAGGAGGGCAATACCAAGTTTTAATCAAAACTTGGTTTTAAAAAATTGAGAAAAAACAGGTAGGCAAGGCTGTTCTTTGCCGTTACCCTGGCTGCCAATACAACATCTCTTGGCACAACCGCCTGCTTGCATCTATTGCATCAGGAAGAGTAGCACTAGTGGGATAAAGGATGTGTGTGAGAGAGAGAGTGAGAAAGACTTAGTAACAGCTAAATGTAAAGCAGAGTAGTCTTGAAGAAACAGATCAAAGCCCACAGCCACTGATATCAAAGAGTGTGCATTAAAGTAGGTCATCTTCCCATGAAATGGGAACGAAGACCCAAACCTCCATCACTCAGATTCAGTACATTACACTTCTCCTATCAACATGGAGCCACTAAGGAGATGTGGTCTAGGCCCCTTCCCTAGACATACAAGCAGCCATTTGGTCAAAAACTGAGCTTCGGCAGAGTTCCTCCCCCAAAGATTCCCTTTGAGGTGGGTTGAAAAGTATGTCAGAGCCCATGATTGCATACTGAACTCAAAGTCCTGAAAATTGTTCGTAACATCCAATAGCAGAATTCACTAGATAATACTTATTGTAGCTGATTTACAGAATCATAAAAATGTCGGGCTGGAAGGGACCTCGAGAAGTCATAGTAAGCCTAGACCATCCCTAACAGGAGTTTGACCAACTTTTTTTTTTTTAAAGCTTTCAACGATGGGGACCCCAAGACCTCCCTTGGAAGCCTATTCCAGAGCTTAACTACCCTTATAGTTAGAAATTTTTTCCTAATAACTAACGTAAATCTCCCTTGCTGCCGATTAAGCTACTTACTTCTTGTTTTGCTTTCAGTGGACATGAAGAACAATTGATCACTGTCCTCTTTATAACAGCCCTTAACATATTGGAAGACTTATCAGTTCGTCCCTCAGTCTTCTTTTCTCAAGACTAAACATTCCCAGTTTTTTCAACCTGTCCTTGTAGGTCAGGTTTTCTAAACCTTTTATCATTTCTGTTGCTCTTCTCTGGACTCTTTTCAATTTGTCCACATCCTTCTTAAATTGTGGTACCCAGAATTGGACACAGTACTCCAGCTGGAGCCTCACCAATCCCGAGTAGAGTGGGACAGTTTTCTCCTATGTTTTACATACAACACTCCTGTTAATGCACCCCAGAATGATATTAGCCTTTTTTGCAGCTGCAGCACATTGATGACTCATATTCAGTTCGTGATTCACTAGAACCCTCAGATCCTTTTCAGCAGTGCTATAACCTAGACAGTTATTTCCCATTTTGTAGTTGTGCATTAGGAAGGAAAAAATCAATGCACTTGTCTTTATTGAATTTAATCTTTTTGAATTCAGACCAATTCTCTAATTGGTCAAGGTCATTTTGATTTTTAAACCTGTTCTCCAAAGTGCTTGCAACCCCTCCCAGTTTGGTATAATCTGCAAATTTTATAAGCATACTCTCTACTCCATTATCCAGGTCGTTAACTGAAAATATTGACTAGTACCAGACCCAGGACCGATCCTTGAGAGACCCCATTAGATACACGGTCCCAATTTGACAGCAAACCATTGATAACTACTCTGAGTACGGTTTTTCAGCCAGATGTGCACCCACATTATAGTAATTTCATCTAGACTACATTTCCCTAGTTTGCTTATGAGAATGTCATGTGGAACGGTGTCAAAAATCTTACTAAAAATCAAGGTGCATCATCTCTACTGCTTCCCCCCTACCCAGTAGGTCAGTAATCCTATCAAAGAAGGAAATTAAGTTGGTTTTGTATTTGTTCTTGACAAATCCATGCCAACAACTCTTTATACCCCTATTATCCTCCAAGGGAGTTAAAAACTGATTTTTAATAATTTGCTCCAGTATCTTTCCAGGTGTTGAAGTCAGGCTGACTGGTCTATAATTCCCTGTGTCTTCCTTGTTCCCCTTTTTCAAGATAGGTACTATGTTTGCCCTACTCCAGTCTTCTGGGACCTCTCCGATCCTCCAAGAGGTCTCAAAGATAACTGTTCATGACTCCAAGATTGCTTCAGCTAGTTCCAAAAGTGAACTAGGATGAATTTCATCAAGCCTTGCTGAATTGAATACATGTTAATACTCTTTACCCTGCTCTTTCCCTATTTTGGCTTGCATTCATTCCCCTCACTGTCAATATTAATTGCGTTGAATACCTGGTCATCATAAACCCTTTTAGTGAAGTCTGAAGCAAAATATGCATTAAGCACCTCAGCTTTCTTGATGCCATCAGTTATTAGCTCTTCTTCCCAGGGCCAGATCTAACATTTTGTGGGCCCGGAGCCAAACATATGTGGGCCCCCCCACGATGGATCCGCTCTGCCCAGCCTAAAGCAAGGGCACTCTTTACAAACCGGCAGCTGCCAGACGCACACTGGCCCACCCGGCCCTATACTCCGAGCGCGCTCCTTCCCCTTGGGCATGGTCCTATGCCACACTGCCCCCCACTCATTGCCCCCCAATCCTCTATGCCCAGTGCCCCCCTTCACCCAGCCCCTCCCCACAGACCCTTATGGACAGAATCCCCCGTTGAGATCCCTCACAGATCCCTGCACTCAGCACTCCTCTGACCCACTATGCCCAGTGCTCCCCAGCCCAGAGACCCCACCACCACAATTGCACAGCGCCCTTCACACCACCACCCCCTGCCACCAGACCCCACCACTACTCCGTGCCACAACACACAGACCATCCCAACCTTCCAGTGCCCCCCCATCCCTTCTATGCCCAACGCCCAAAACACATAACCCCTTCCACCCCCCACTACTCAGTGCCCCCTCCCAAAGAGAGACACTCCCCCTCACCCTGTCCCTCGTTCGCACTTATTGGCCCCACTGGGAAGTGACCATGTCCGCTGGGCTGAGCCAGCAGTGTAGGGATCACTCTGGCCCCTCGAGAGTGGTGCCATCAGCCAGGCTGGAACAGGAGTGGGGCCTGCCCGGACCGGGCTCACTCAGGACCTACTTGTCTGGCGGGGCCTAGCCAAGCCCCCCCACACTGCTCTCCCCACCCCTATTGGCCAAGACCAGCCTGGCCTCTGAACCGGTCCAGTGAGGCAGGCAGGGTCCCATAGGTGGTGGGCAGCAGAGACTGCTCGGAGCTGAAGCTGCGCTGGGGAGCAGGGTAGACCCCCGAGAGCCTGCCCAGTCCGGCTGGAGCCAGCAGGCATGCCCAGTCTGCATGGCAGAGCCCAGCTGCTGGGCGGGAAGCCCCCTACAGGCGAGTGGGACCTGCTGGCTGGGAGCCGCTCACACAGCAAGGCCTGGGTGCTGGACTGCCCCAGGTGAGAGGCCAGACCTGGCTGTGTGGATGGGTTAGAAGAGTCCATAATGTGCTCCTTCCCAGTGTGGGCCTGGTGCCTTTTTGTATCTGTGCAGGGCTCTAAAAATACTCTCTCTTTTAAGTCCCAGGGAAGAATGTCCATACAAGTTCCCTCCAGATCTGAGCAAACATATGATTTCATCATGTTAGTGCAGTGCACAGGAAGAGAAACTGGCTAGAAAAAGAGTGCAATAAAAGACAAAATACTTCCCCCCACCTAATCTTTCAGTGACAGTAACCTTAGAAATTACTTGCAACAATAGTAGGTATGAAGTTTTCAGGTAGAAGCCTGACTTTCAAGCTGATGCTGTGCCTTTCAACAGTGGAAACCACTGCTACAAAACATTGAGACAGAAAGTAACAGGATTCAAGATATTTAGACATTAAATATTTATATGAATAATACAGAGAGTTATACTTTCTAGGATAGATGTGCATAAGGGATATCAAGCCACAGACTTTTAGGCATAACTCATCCACTGACTGCTTGACATTAAGAAAATACCCTATAGGCATGTTACTGCCTAACTGCCTATAGATGTGTGAGTAGGGCTTACACATTCCTCTGAATCATCTAGAACTGGCCACTGTTGGAGACAAGACACAAGAACAGATTTATATGACAATTCCTATATTCTATTAGCAGTGACTAACTGATTTAGGCACAGCATTCACAAGCTCCACAGAGAGCCCCACCATCAACTGGAGAGTGTTACACTGCTAAGTCACATTTCTGAGGATGTCAGAGACACAAAGGACTTTCCCTTCTCCACCTTCACCTGCCAAATACCCACCACCCTAAAGGCAAGCGTTATTAAAAACATGACATGAATTGTATCTTACCATCGTAGTTGAAGCCAGGTGTCCAAATGGCAGATGAAATATTTAGGAGTTTTGGTGCAGTAGGCAAACAGTCATATTTTTAGGGTCACAAGAGATACTGTAAGGTTGGGGGGAAGAAAAAAATACAATCACCAACTATGTTAAACAAGCATTATAATTATTTAAACAAGACATTTTAATGGCAGATTATATTGAATTGATATAGCATCTTTCATCCACTAATACAGAAGTTACCACTGAAAAGAAATTACAGGGCCAAATGTCATTACCCATACCTGTGGTGTCTTGGCAGACTACCAATATCACCCGTGTCTCTGATAGGTACAGTAAAATGGAATATATAATGAAGTAAGTGGTTAGAACATTTATTTTATGTATCAAAGAGCCAGTGCTGATGGCTTTGATTTTATATAATACTCAAAGGACAGCAGCTCCACCAACTACACCTCCTTGCACCATTTTGAGATGTTCATTCAGTAATGACTCAGGGGTGTTAACTACTGAGGTGTTAACAATTTTACTCAGCACATAGGTGCTCCTTAGAAGTTCTTCATTCAGCTATTAACCAAGTCCAGCACTGTTTCACTTTTAAATTCAACTAGATAATAGACTTTTCAGGTTTTTTTAATACAAATTCTTAAATATAAAGTTTTTAAATCCTGTTTACTAATCATGCTCCACTCCCTTTCAGCCTCTCTCTCAATGAGGAAACTTGAAAGTCAAAGAGATCAGTTTTACTTTTGGTTCTTAATGTTACATTTCAAACACAGCGGGGGAGCCATTTAACCATTTCCAGTGGGTTTTATTTTGAAATGTGGAAACATTCCTACTGGTTTTAGGCTCTATAAAGATTTTTAATACATATTTTAAATGACAGATTATGTTTAAATTGACAAATATGTCTCTCTGTTATTAGCTATATGCTAGCCAACCTCTTTCCTTAGAAATCTGTTCAGCCTTTGTTTGTTTGTTTTTGGTCCCAATTCCAGCGACACACTGTGGTACTGGTGGTAAGTGATGCTGCGTCTCCAACAAGGAGGCTACAGCTCTGGCCTTTAGTTAGTGGCCAGGATGTGCTAAGCGCTTTCCAAGCCATCGAAGGCACAATCCCTGGCCTAGAGACCCTGCAACCCACAGCTAGGCTGAGGTGAGGAGGACCGAGATCACGGCAGCGCTTGGCTACACTCCGGGCTGGATCCGCGGGATTGCCGGCGGGCTGACAGGGGCATGACGACGGGATCGCGGGCGGGGAGAGGCAGGTTAAACCCAGGCCTTGCCAGGGTCCCGTTGGGGGATGCGGCAGCGGCGGCCACCACTGACAGCGTCGCCGTTGGCAGGTCTGGGAGCGAGCCGCAGATCCCAGCCGGGAGAGCGACGAGAGCCGCCCAGACAGCACGGGGAGGGCCGGGCCCAGGCGACACCACCGCCGCAGAGAGGCGGGTACGGGAGGCCCTAGCGGCCCGGCCCCGGAGGAAGGCGCCGGCCGGAAGGGCACGCGGCGGGTTAGACTCGACCTCGCCCCCAGGCCCCTTTACCTGCCAACCTCATGTCGGGTCCTGCCCCCCGCGCAGCTGCCCCCGCGGCCCTTTCATCCGCCCCCCGCCCACCCGCGGCACCGCGGCTGCTTCCGCCCCGGAACTTCCGAGCGCGGCCCGGAAGGGGCGGGGCGAGTTACCCTAGAGATGGGCCGGGGGGCGGGGGAGATTCGGCCGTGTTGCCATGGTGAGCAAGCCGCGTGTGGGCTCCCCGTCCCCTGTCCTCACCAGCTTGCGGGGGCGGGAATCCGGGAACGGGGGTGCGGGGGTGATTCAGGAGTGAGGCAGTTCTGGGGCCGTCGCCTATTTCCCTACATGTGCATCTAGCCTGTAGTGCAGGCGCTGACCCCTGCAGCCTCCCAGCCTCTCCCACCGTGGTTCCCACACTCACCTGCCACTCGTCAGACCCAACCCTGAGTCCCGGCTCTGCCACAGACTTCCCGTGTGACCTTGGGAAAGTCGCCTATGCCCAGATCTTAGGAGCCTAAATACCTTGGAGGATCTGGCCCTTAGTAACTCTCTGTACCTCGCGTTGCCATCCTGGAGAACACTTAAAATGGGGAAAATAGTACTTCCCTACCTCACCAGGATGTTGTGAGGACAACTATGTGAAAGGTTGTGATTATCACAGGAATGAGGACCATTTCAGTACCTAAAATAGATAAGGCTTGATGCCCATGCTAGTGGAAATTCCTGGGGGGCACAGGTATTTCAGTGCTAGTGGGCAAGTCCATGTCTGGTTGGTGTAGCAGCAGTTCATTTGTAATAAATTACCAAGTCACTTACAATTTTTAAATCAAGACTAGATATTTTTCTAAAAGATGTGCGCTAGGAATTACTTTGGGGACGTTCTTTGGCCTGTGTTATACAGGGGGTCAGATGAGATGATCACAATGCCCTTCTGGCCTTTGGATCTATGAATTGTGAAGGGCACAGTGGTGACTCTGGTGGGGGGTGACAATGGTTCTATGCATGCAGTGGGATGAATTTTGTTTCATTGTTAGAATTACAAATTTGGTATGAGGGCTGGTTTTCTATAAACGTTTGATGGCTTTCTGCAGAATTCTATAAATTCTACAGTACAAAACCTGCAAATACCTAGAGCCCTGAATGGATACAAAATTTGCATCCGCATCTGATCTGCAATCTGCAAAAACGATCCATGGATATAAAGCAGATATCTGCAGATTTGCAGGGCTTTAGATATAAAATTTGGATCCGCATCCATCTGCATCTGCAAAAATGCTCCGCGGCTATCCGCAGAGGCAAATATTTGCAGATATAAAGTGGATATCTGTGGATTTGCAGGGGTCTACAAATAGCCATCTCTAAACCAACAGTGGAGGTGGCAGTTCAAGGGCAGACCTCATCATGTTGCAACATTTAGGCTAATACTCATTCTGATCACTACTTAGATGCAGTGTATGTGTTGGTAAGGGTGGCAGATATTCACTGGCAGGCATCAGAGGGGTAGCCGTGTTAGTCTGAATCTGTAAAAAGCAACAGAGGGTCCTGTGGCACCTTTAAGACTAACAGAAGTATTGGGAGCATAAGCTTTTGTGGGGAAGAAGTGAAGTTCTTACCCACGAAAGCTTATGCTCCCAATACTTCTGTTAGTCTTAAAGGTTCCACAGGACCCTCTGTTGCTATTGGCAGGCAGGTGCTCCAAACAATGAGGATCTTTGTGGTGCTTGACACTATCCCTACAGGAGTCAGAGGCAATGGGCTGATCTCAGATTGCATTACAAATATACTGATGGCATAGGTGGAAAGTGGTTTGTCTGTTTGCTTTACTTGAACATTTTTATTATGTATAAAAGTACAACAAAGAAGACAAACACAGATACAGAGTAGTGTATGTATATTCCTGCGCACATTTAAAATTTCTATGAATTATAGAACAAGTAAGATAGGAGCATCAAGATCAAGCTACAAACGTAAAATGGTATATTTAGAGATGAGTATCTACCAGGATTAGATGATAAAATAATGAAGTAATGAAAGAATGAAAACAACTCCTTACTGCCTAAATATCAACTTATTAATCAAGCAATACAGATTTTGGGGTAGGAATTGGATCCCTTAAAGCACAAGAATTGTAAAAAATGTTTAAACTGTGTTAGTAACATTGCAACATTGATTAATGGTAGCAATTCTGTAAGCATCTGGCCAAGGAGACCATATGTTATAATACCTAGGAACAGAGTTATTCGCTGAATATGTTAATCTTTCCATCTCATTCATTGTCTATATAAGATTTTTCCATTGTCTAATAATGAAGGTTCTGTCAAGCAGCCAATATCTTGTGATAATGTATTTTTCCAAATGTAATAGGTGAGGGTCATTTCTTGTGAGGTCCTGAGTTCCTCCTGCAAAGTGCTGGTGTTCCCCAATGCCTGCTGAAGTAAAAAGGGGTTGAAGACTCTTTATTTAGTAGATCTTACAAATTAATAGTAAATTCATCAGGAATATATAAAAGTTGAAAATATCTAAAATTTTGCTTTATAATTGATGAGTGAGAGGAGGTGTCTTTCCCAACTTGGTCCACATGCTACGCAGAATCAAAACTTAGTCTCTTCCTAAGTTTTTGTCTTATAAATAAATCAAAAATAGAGGTGTAGGTTGGGGGGGTAGCTCCAGCCTCAACTATGGAGTAACCCATTCCTTCATAATATACAGCCAATAAAATAATGTGGTTGTACTTAGCACATAAATAGAACTTTACAAATGGTAAATAATTACCATGACATGCTTATGAGATAGGTAAGTATTATTATTCCCATTTTATACATAGGGGAACAGAGAGGGTGATTCTTTATTGCACTAGGGATTCTTTATGTCACCAGAGGAAGTGGTTTCTGAGAATATGCCCCACATAAGGAGGCTTCCTACACCAGCACAGAGCCGTTAAGGGCAGCCCTACCCTAGCCCTCATCCCAGCCTCAGAACAAGGGAGTGTATCAGTGTAGGGTAATGGGAGGGGAGAGGTGATGAAGGGGTGTAGCTAGAGCATCCTCTGCTACAGCTATTCTATGTTTCCCAGACTTCATAGGGGCCTCTGAGATTGTTCTGAGGCCGAGAACCATGGAAGTACCCTGAATAGCCCCAGAGAAAATTCACAGCTTAAATCACTAGAGTTACACCGGCATAAAGGTTGAGTAACACAGTGGTGAATCCGGCCTGATATGTTCTTAATAGTTGAATAAAAGTTTTGTGTTAAAAGTACTTCTTGATGCTGGGCTTGGGAATCTGTTAGGTTTCCTAAAGCTGGCCATGGGAATTTTGGAATCACAGATTACATATTCTTCAAACATACTCTCTGTATATTTACCCTTTTGCCCCACAGGAAAGACATTGTAACAATATGTAATCTTTGTCATGCACAGCTGGGACAAATGATGTACATAGATTCATAGGTTATAAGGAGAGAAAGAACCACACTGTGATCATCTAGTCTGACCTCCTGTATAACATAGACCAATGGTCTCAAAACTTTTTTGATCGCGCACCCCTATCAGTAAAAAAATTTTGAGCACGTACCCCCTGCCGTGCCGGCTCTACCATTTTTGCCAAAGCAAAAAAAAAAAAGCCGCTCGGACTCCCGCCCGAACTGACGAAGCAAAAAAAATGCTCCTCCTGCCGCGCACCCCCGAGGATCCTCTTGCGCACCCCCTGGGGTGCGCACACCCCACTTTGGAGACCACTGACATAGACAATAGAACTTTCTTGAATTAATTCCTGTTTGAAACTAGAGAAGATCTTTTAGAAAAACATCCAATCTTGATTTAAAAATTGCCAGTCATGGAGACAGCACCACAATTCTTGATAAGTTGTTCCAATGGTTAATTGCCCTAGCTTCTAAAAATTAGCACCTGTTCCAATCATGGGTGGCAGGTGGAGCCCCCCCCTTCGGTGAGGCTAGCCACCGGCTCTGCCCCTTCCACTCACGCCTCCCCACCCCCACGTCCGGAGCACCGAGACCCCCTGACCTCTTCCCCCCCCATGGCCTGAGCCACAAGCTCCCCCCTGCCCGGAGGATCCCCGGGTACCCGCCCCCCATCGGCCAGAGGAGCCCTGGGCTGGCCAGAGGCCTGAGCACACCCCCCCCCCCGGCTAGTGGCATCCCAGGCCAGTCGAAGCCTCGAGTCCCCTCCCCCCACACCAGCCCAGAGGAACCCCGGGCCAGCCGCAGCCATGCCTCCTCTCCCTAGACCCCAAGCCACCCCAGGGAAAAGCGTCTTATCTGGAAGAAGCTTTTGCTATGCCCCATGCAGGTTCTGGGGTGGCTGAGGAGGCAGTGTTTGCTACTTAACTTCCTGGATTCATCAGTAATCTCTCTGGAGTCCAGGGAGATTACTGATGAACTCCGGGAAGCTAAATAGCACATACCACCTCCTCAGCTGCCCCAGAACCTGCACGGGGCATAGAATCATAGAATGATAGAACTGGAAGGGACCTCAAGAGGTCATCTAGTCCAGTTCCCTTCACTCAAGGCAGGACTAAGTATTATCTAGACCATCCCTGACAGGTGTTTGTCCAACCTGCTCTTAAAAATCCCCAATGATGGAGATTCCACAACCTCCCTATGCAATTTATTCCAGTGCTTAACCACTCTGACAGGAAGTTTTTCCTAATGTCCAACCTACACCGCCCTTGCTGCAATTTAAGTCCGTGGCTTCTTGTCCTATCCTCAGAGGTTAAGAAGAACAATTTTTCTCCCTCCTCCATGTAACAACTTTTTATGTACTTGAAAACTGTTATCATGTGCCCTCTTAGTCTTCTCTTCTCCAGATTAAACAAACCCAATTTTTTCAATCTTCCCTCATAGGCCATGTTTTCTAGACCTTTAATCATTCTTGTTGCTCTTCTCTAGACTTTCTCCAATTTGTCCACATCTTTCCTAAAATGAGGCGCCCAGAATTGGACACAATACTCCAGTTGAGACCTAATCAGTGCGGAGTAGAGCGGAATTACTTTTCTTGTCTTGCTTACAACACTCCTGCTAATATCTCCCAGAATGACGTTTGCTTTTTTGCAACAGTGTTACACTGTTGACTC